CCACTGATACACCTTGCAGCCCCCCTTTGATAACTGGAAGCAAATTATTCTGGTAATTTAGGTGAGCTAACCTGCTTCAAAGATCATTAAAGAAGGAGGTTTTAAGGACACACATCCTGAAAAGATTCATTTTAAAGAACATAACAGAATGCAGTTTTAATAGATGAATATGTAAATGCAAATGCAGTCACCATCAGATCAGTTCTGTAAGCAACACCAAGAGGTCTACAATGTGTACCACAAAATCAGACGCTCTTTACACTTTGCTGTTGAAGCGATGCGTCTGTAAAGGAGGCTCAGAACACAGATGAACTCGTGACTATTGGGTCACAGGACGTGTGGTGTTAGAGGTAGAATCAGATGTTGTTCTCATAGATGGAATATCTCCTGATCAGACAAAACGAGTCGTTCAAATCGGTCACCTTTGAACCGTGGTACCTGTGACATTTTCAATCAAAAGTTCCATGACTGCACCTATAAAAAGCAAAAAAATACTGACATTTGGAGTCTATCCCTTCAAAGTAGTTGTCTTTTGCAGCAGTGCTCCACTTTCAGTATCTCGTCCTGGAGGTCCTCGTCTGACCACGTGCAGGTGTACATTTGCAATTCCACCTTTTAAAGTAAATGTAATCACGGCTGGTGATAAGAGTGTGGTCTGCGGCTACGACTGCAGACGCCAAACGTCAGTGTTTGGTTGAAGAGGCTCCAAGACTAAATTGGGTGCATCAGGTCTTTAGCGCTGCCAACAACATGCCGTCAACTGTCATCTAAGGGAGAACACTTGGTGCAAATGACCTGAACTATGGTGTGTAGCATTGTGCCAATACACACCCGCTCACAGTGCAATTAAAATGGCCGAGTCTCACCATTTTTTGCTCTCTACCTGCCCTACTCCACCTGTGACCTCTTTCAAAATGAAATTTAAGTTGAAGGGTCACAGTTTTGACACTGGGAGGTCCAGCACATATTAGAGATTGGGGCTTGATGGATCTAACGGCACTCCAGGGAGTGTTCCAAGCGTGACAGCAGCACTCGGAGTGGTACAGCGATGCACAAGGCAACTACTTCAGGGAGCATGGCAGGTCTGATTTTTATAGGTGTAGTCTCGTATGACTGGACATTAGAGAGAAGCTGTGTTTTATGTTTAGAGTGAACTGATCCTGAAAGTTCTCCTGTTGCAAACGTTTAATTTGTGAAGACAGCAACACAAATATGTGCTGTGATACAAAAACCAGCAGTCATCTGCAATCAGTTGTGTTTAAATGAGATTAGTTACCAGGAACAGCTGTGACTTCAATCCAACTGCAATTTATCTGTAATTCATAAATGGTCTGTTTTGATTTTTGTGAAGCAAATTTCCATTTTTCCCCAAATCAGTTTGTTTTTCCCTTAAAAAGTTTCTTTACTTGAATTACAGTTTAATCATGTTGGTGGTACAGGAACAGGTCTGAAGCCACTACATCAGAAAGTGATGATTGTTTGTGTTTGTTGTTGTCCAGCACTGCTGTCAGTGTTTCTTCACTGACCCACATCAGTGCCTCAGTCATTACATGAGCTTGTTTCTTTGTCTTCCTTCCAGGTCAACTGGATCTTTATTCTGTTCTTGATGTTGGACTGTCAGCAGCTGATTGTTCTGGGTCCACCCAGTCCCAGACGTGGACAGAGCCATCTGAAGCTGCGGACAGCAGCGTCCGCGGCAGCTCAGGATGCCAGCTGTGGGCGGTGGTGAAGACGGGGATGCTGTCATCAGTCTGCTGTGACGATACCACGTGACCACGATGCTGAAACAGCGGCTGACGTTCCTGCAGCTCTGTGCTCCAGCCACAGGTGTTGTAGATCTGGACAACCCCACTGAAACCTGGCAGAGAGGAAGGTAGGAATGAATGAAGCAGGTCCTGAAAGGGAGAGTCTGATTTCCTGGGTTAAGGTACAAATGAAGAGTCGGTGTATTTACTGTTATCCTGAAGCTAAGAGACTTGCTGGGGATGGGATCAGCAGCAAAATACATTTGAGCCACCGTAACAGTCTGTCACTGAAGTGTATGCTGTATTTAGAATGTTGTCACTGCCCTCAGACAGCAAAGAACTCAAACTTTTGTATTGATTCTTGCCGTCTCCAATCAGACACTAATGACAAGAAGAATAATTTTGCCTTGTGGATCACTGCTCTCCCTCAGTCAGTTTCTCTGTTATTGTGTGACTTTGGTGCTGTAACTTCTTGCTGTGGCTCTAATGCTGTCTGGTGTATCAGAAGAGAGCAACAGAACTGCTTTAGCAACAAGGTAAAGCTGTAAAAAGTACTGCAAGTACAGTGTTCACTTATATGGTTTTGGTTTTTTTCCTCTTTAACTCGGGCTTTTTAAAGAGGCCAGAATCCATTTGATTGCAGAACCCGTCTACAGCTCCTGTACCGACCATCTTCTACTGACCAGTGGAGAGTTGTAGGCATTTCGAGGGATAGTTGGGTTTGTTTAAAGTCCAGTTGTAGGATTGTATTGCCTGTGGTAGATAGCCGTAGACACCCTCTCAGGTTGGAGGAGATGGCTGCAGGCAGGGAAGCCAAACAGTGCTAAAAAGACATTCCACATGTACGCTATATTTGGAATATTCTCACTGCTTCACTTTGCCATCAGCAGCTCTTTCTGGAAGTTTTATGGTTGAGAAAAAGTAGTACCACAGGACAACGCTGTCTGACAGCAAGAGAAAGCAGTGACCGGGTTCTAAATATGGCCCACACAAGGATACTAATTGGGCTTTTTTCCCCTTCGTTTCTACGTGGACCCAGTTTTGGGTGGCTAAATCGGTTAACCCCGTTCACAGCAATACACAGCTCAGCTTTCCTGCCTGCACTCCTTTCTGGGTGTAACAACCACGACCCTCTGCAGATAAAGACACCGTGGATAACTGCCTGATACAAACCCACTTCAAAGAAACCAAACTATCATTTGAAATGCCTCTGAAAGGTTAGCAGCTGGAGAGATGTGAGGCCAGTGTGAGTCACTGACCCACCACGACATCCTGATCCGTGTGAACGGTCCTGTCCTGAGGAGCTGGCTCTCCTGTGTTGTGCTGTGTGCTTGTTTTGCTAATGTCCACGTCTGAGCATCTCTCCCAGCTCTGAGCAGCTACAATGTTCTGTCTCAGTGTGTTGCTGGACCTGAAGTGCTCAGAGATGCTGTTTGTTGTTGTTTTTTTAGATACTCTGCACCATAATATGTTGTTCTGTGTCTTTTGGGCAAACCGTCTATTCGGATCAGCACACGTCTGAAGTTTGTGTCTGATGTGTTTGTGTTTCTTCTCCTTCCTCTCTGTCCTGTTGGGCAGGTTCTGACCCCAAATGTTTCAGGTTCTAGAAACCTTAATGGGTGCTGAGAATCAAATGGTAAATATTGATCTGGGTCTGTCAGTATGAAAGCCTCAGTCATCTTCAGAAGATCAAACTGTTTCCTCTGACGTCCTCCTGAAAGAACTTGATGTTGTCCTGGTTTGATGTGTTCTGTGAGGCTCCCGCTTGTTTAGATATTGACCCAGGTGTCATCCGTGTTCATAAAATCTAATTCCGTCTGTAGAAACCCTCAGTGTATTGAAAGTATGTGACAGGCAGGCTGAGGTGAAGCAGGACACGTGTGGGCCGAGGTCTGTGGACAGGGTGCTGTCCTGCAGCATTTGTTTGCTTACAGCCAAACCAACATCACTCCTGACCACATGTCCCCTGCTTGACCTACACCTGCTTTCAGCATAATGACGCTTTTAGCGGACAGGAGCACGGCTGTGTCATGGTTTAACAGTGTCTCTAATAGCAGCCAATTTCCGTACAAAAGATGTGGGGAGCAGAGCCGTGACCTCTTGTAAAGGAACTGCTGCCAGGTCTCCCTGAACCAGGTACACAGATAAACACCTGGGTCAGAATCAAAACAAGTAGAGAACACGTCAATGCAGTCGACAGTAACGTCGTGCTCACTCAGGAGAATGTCAGAGGAAGTAGTCTGGCCTCCACTTTCTGTTCAACGCCCACTGACGATGACAGAGGCCTGAACATACACCCTGATCAATATTAACTATTTGATCATCAGCACCCACTGGAGCAGGAGCTGGGGTTGTCAGAACCAGACAACATCTGGTCCAGAACGTGGCCACAAGGACAGAAGAAAAGAAAAGGTGCACAAACACATCAGAGAAGCAATTAAACATGTGGTTATTCAGATTGGGCTTTTGTTAAAACCACAAGAAGACACTGAACAGAACAACACAGTAACTGCTCATGTAGCAGGAGCAGCTGGAACAAACAGACTCTCTGTGCACTTCAAGTCCAGCCACACTGAAAAAACACTAATTATTATCATCTAAACGGCACAAGTGATGTGTTTACTGTAATTAACGTTAGTCCAGCACTGGAATTAGTTTATACTGACAGCAGGGGAGTGTAACTGTCAATTAATCACTTCCACTTGTTGTTAAATTACAGGATTGACACAACATCTGGATTACTGTGTGTCTGTAAGCTGACCTGACACTGAGATGCAGTCACTGATCGTCGGCGCCCACGACACGCTGACATCATCCAGGTTGCAGCAACGTGCTTGGACGTCCAGCTGAGCCTGACACACAGCTCCTCCAAGGCTCCTCAAATCTGAAACCACTGCCCGTCCAGAGGAGGACAGTCTGACCACCCTGCAGTTGGATGGATGCTGACCTGCAGAGGTGTCCGTCCACCACAGGTCAGAATCGCCTGAAGATGCCGGCGGAGGTGAAAGCTGAGGAGCAGCGGACGTTCGAGTGTCGCCGATGTAAACGCTTCCGTTACAGCAGCCGGCGAGGAAAACGGTGTCACTCACAAAGTGTAAAGAGCTCAGAGGATCTGCTGAGTCAGTTTCTGTTGGGACAAAATGACACATAATGACCCATAAGATGTCACGCAACAGAAGGACACTGTAGCCTGCTGCAGAAATGAGTTTACAACTACAGTTGTGACTCGATAATCCGACACTAAATGTAAAACCTTCTTTTATGTCGGATAGCAAGGCTGTCGGATTGTCAAGATGGAGGTCGAGATGCAAGGAGGGCTTGATGCTGGAAGGCTCATTTGTTGTTAATATTTATTGTTCATAGGTTTTATAAAAACTAGTAGGGCTGGTCCAATTAGCACTATCTGGTGTCTGGATATTCAGGCCTAATTAATGATGAATATCAAAATATTCTGTGCAGTCGGGGAGGAACGCACAGGCAGTACTTGGCTGCTGATGCTAGTTTAGTTAGCGGTTACAGTTCTGTTTCCACCATCGCCGCAATCATCCGTGTTTACTTCCGTAAACACTGAGCACGCTCACTGCGTGTGACGTCGTCGTGTCCTCTTCTGTGCATGCGGGACACTTTTGGGTCGTATGAAGTTCACACAGCAGATCACATACAAGTCGCATTTAACTGGAAATGTGAACAAAGTCCTGCAGTGTGAACGTAGCCAATCTGTGGGATTGTTCAGTCAGATAATACGCCGTTATCCTTATTTATGACATAAAACGTCATGTCGGAGTCAGAATCCGAGGCTGTCGGTATGTTAAGGCTGTTTTTCATGGGTTCCGTTGGTTTTTCCTAAAAACCTGTTGGACAGCATAGTTTTCAGATCGTTAAGGGTCGGATTATCGAGTCACGACTGTATATTAATATACAGTCGTGACTCGATCCGACTTATGCACATTTTTTGTAATATAAAAGAGGGGCAGACCATTCATTTATGTCAAAGTCTGTAAATCTTTTTGTTAATCTGCTACTCTTCCACATTAACTTCTTGTTGCTGCAGTCTTACATGATGGTCTCGGACATTTTGTCTAATGTTCACATGACTCACTGCTGCAGCTGTTTAAAAATAAAAAAGCACACAAAATAAATGGGAAGGTACAGAGCCTTCTAAGGGTCAGTGGTCAGGCTACTACATTAATACTTCAGCATAATACAGCTCAGCCTTGCTCAATGCGTCAGAGGCCAACAAAAAAATACTGAGGGGCACAAAGGAAGAACTGCTGAGAAAAAAAAATCCCATCACAACATTTTGGGGGCTGTGAGGAAAGCTTTTGTCCTCACTCTGGCTTGGAATGTATAAAGCTTCTTCCTATTGTCAGGAGATGGACTGATGGGGTTTTGGAATTTGGACATAAGCCAAAAAACCCCAAAAAACTAGCTGTGTCTTAGTTCCATGTAGAAACTGTCCTACGCTACACTGCATGCTGATTGTTCTGTTCCCAGACAATGTCCACAACAACCAGTACAACGTTATAGTTCTGCTCTGTTTCCATCAGAGGTGTTTTTACGTGTCCACAGAGGAAGAGAGACATAATGGAGCTGAAAAAGGAAGCAACTAAAGCCTGCTGTGAATGTCCAGTAGAGGTGCTTCACTACAACCTAAACGTCATTACCGCCTGACAATAAAAAAGGCTGAAACCACATGTAGCAGTTGTTTGCATTGGTTCATTAAACCTTTAAAATATACTTCACAGGATTCAAAATTGCGTTCATGTCGTCGTCGGCCTCCTTCCGTCTGGAGAGACGATGGGATGCACCGTGTTCAGTCACTCGCACACTTCTCGGTGTGGCTAAACAAGCCAGTGTGTTAGTGGCATTCCTTTTGACATGAAGAACAGATGTGTACGGAGGCTTCTCCATCTTGTTGGGAAGACTTGTTTCCCTCTTTCACCTTAGATGCGTGACATCTCCCCTTGTTTTGTACCGCTCACAACAGCAGCTTTCCAGGAATCTCTTCACTCAGCAGGACTGGACGCTGATCCCAGGGGTTTTCATGTCGCTCTTGCAAGCGTCTTTGAAGCGGAGCCTTGGGCGACCTCGAGGTCTACAGCCTCCTGACAACTCGCTGTACAGTAGATCTTCAGGTATTCTGCTATCGCGAAGACGGCGTTGGCTAAGGAGTGTGAAGATGGATGAAAGTCGCTCGAGCACATCACACACAATTTACTGATACTGATGCACTTTTTTTATACTTGGTCTTACGTTTTGCCACTATTTTTAATATTTTATTCTCTTATAATTGTAAAGCACTTTGAGTTGCTCTTGCTGAATGAACTGTGCTACACATACTATGATTTTAAACTGCCCCTAACAGTGGACATTGTTTTTATGTGTTCTTTCCAGGCAGTGTCGTGGCTTCCAGTCTGCATCTGGGACAGCACAATGTATACAAGAACCATCATCAATTAGTGCAGGGGTGTCCAATCCTGGTCCTCAAGGGCCACAATCCTGCATGTTTCAGATGTTTCCCTCTTCCAACACACCTGATTCAAATGATCAGGATCGTTATCAGGCTTCTGCAGAGCTTGATGATGAGCTGATCAT